AACTTTAAAAATCACGTGATCAGTTGAATCCTCTAGCTTGGTTTCAACCTTACTGTATCTTCAGGCGATTTGTATCTATTGATCTCCCAAATTTATTTTGTAGAAAAAAAATGATCGCTGTATTATTTAATATATATATATATATATATATATATATATATATATATATATATATATCCAAAGGCACGACGTTAGGTGTGATAGAAAGGGTTAGGGATGAAGAAGAAGAAGAAGAAGAAGAAGAAGAAGAAGAAGAAGAAGAAGACGAAGGACGATTATTGATGGTGATTGAATTGTAATATCGAGAAGGAGGAGAGGATATAAAGCATCTAAATAGGTGCAGAAAATTCCGAAAAATTTAAAAACCGGGTACATCACAAAACATGAAAGGATAGAGAAAGAAAGAAAAAAAGAAAGAAAGAAAGGATATGTAACCAAACTTCAAGCAATAAAGAAAGAAAGAAAAAAGAAAGAAAGAAAGTATATGTGACAACAGATCAAACGATAGAGGAGGGAAGAAAAAAAAAGAAAAAAAGGATACATCACAAAACATCAAAAGATAGAGAAAGAAAAAATAAATAAATAAAGAAAGGTTATGTCACAAAACATGAAACGATAGCGAAAGAAAGAAAAAAGAAAGAATGAAAGGATATGTCACACAATAGGAAAGGATAAAGAAAGAAAGAAAAAAAGAAAGAAAGAAAGAAAGAATATGTCACACAATAGGAAAGGATAAAGAAAGAAAGAAAGAAAGAATATGTCACAAAACATGAAAGGACAGAGAAAGAAAAATGAAAGAAATAAAGAAAGGATATGTCACTAAACATCAAACGATAGAGAAAGAAAGAATTAAAGAAAGGATATATCACAACATATCAAACGATAGACGAAGGAAGAAAAAGAGAAAGACAGAAAGAAAGGACATTTCACAAAACATCAAACGATACAGAAAGAAAGAAAAAGAAATGAAGAAATAAAGGATATGTTACAAAACATCAAATGATAGAGAAAGAAAGAAAAAAGAAATAAATAAAGAAAATGTCACAACACATGAAACGAGAAATAAATATGAATGAACGAATGAACGAATGAACAGAGATTTCATTAATTACAACATAGTAAAGTATAAAGGAAAAAAAAAAAACAACGAATGAATAATGCTAAGAAGGAATGAGATCGATATTAAACCCAAAAAATATTATAGGAAGATTGAAAAAGACAAAAGAAAATAAAGAAAAAAGGAAGAATAGAAAGAAAGGTTAATGAATGAGAAATAAGGAAAGTTGGGAAGATTAACGAAAGAAGCGATACAAGGAACCGGCTATCTTCGTGTATCTTTAGCAAGAGATCATATATATGAGTTCGATTTGAGTTATACCAAGTTGCTCTTTCATTCTTTCGCTTTTGATAACCGTGTCTTAACACCGTCAAATACCTGCGTATTACTTTCTAGAGGAGCACGCATATTGTGAAGATCCCTGGTATTTAAATGACGAGCCTTCATATCGAAACATTGATGTAGTTATTGTTTTGCGTCATACAATTAACACGTGAAATTTAAAGGATTACAACGGAAGTTTTCCCAGCTTTGGAAAATCATTTCTTTTGCGAAACAAAGCAAAAAAAAAAAAAACAGAGATAGATTGTTGTAAATTTGCAAGTTATAATTTTCAGATAATCCATTTTAAAGTAGCATAAATAATAATAATAATAATAATAATAATAATAATAATAATAACAACAACAATAACAATATTAATAATAATAATAATAAAAATAAAATAAAATGATTGCCATAAATCTTTCAATATTTTTCACGTCATTCAAGAAAAGATAAAGAAAAGAAAACACAGTGACAGTGTTAAAAAAGTAATTCGATATTATGTCTGTCTTCAAGTTATATTTAAAAATGTCATACAAGTTTTAGTATATAAAGACATCTACCAAAAATTATAAGTCTTTGTACAAACGTCGATTGTCTTGAGAAAACGGACGTATTGTTAATCAACGCGTCAAAACGAATGAATGACATGCACAATGAAACTTGAGTAATATGACAGAGAACCGGCTCATCTTGGAATTTTCCATTAGTTGATTAGTTACAAAGAGGAGTTAATCAAACAGATTAGTATGAATTTTATAGAACTCACCAGTCCTTGTGTTCATTACCCCGGAGAAGGAAGTTATTAGTCTGCAGACGTAACTATCCTGATACGTTTTAAGGGTGGAAAGTTTGGTGGATTCATGATATTTCTTTTTAGAATGTGCACCTTAAGATGTTCATCGAAATACAGTCGTTTGTAATAAAATGTTACGCAAGCTTCGTTGGCGTCACATTATTGTGTCTGGCATCATACCTGTGGCCAGTGAAACTTTTTCTTTAATTTTTCTGTTGTGCAACCCATATGAATCAAGTCATCTTTAGTATATTGGGCAGTGTGTATTAAATGGTAATCAGCACAACTGCCAACTTCTGAAGAAATCGTCATGTTTCTCTTTGATTGTGATTCATGTTGGACAACGAAGAACGTTTTGACTTTGCATCAGTGTTTTCTGGAATATAGAAATCTGAAACTGCGATGGTGTTTTGAGTCGGAAAACTTGAATATATTAAAACTTGCCTGATGGTTTTATTTTGTTTAAAATAGATGATAGGTGGGGTTGGAAAATCACTTTAAAACAAGGATATTTTTAAGAAATGTGTTCATAGCTGTCTTGTAGTATTTTCGAGATTCGAACAAAATCGGTGTCTGTTAATGATAAAATATTTACCATTAAACCAAATTTTAATTTTTATAATTAATACCGGAAAATAATGTTGGCTTTAATGGGTTAAATCAATGTGAAAAAGATAGAAATAATGTAGAAAATCTCGGAAAAAATATATTTTACATTTGTTACCCCAATCCCTGGCACTAGTATAAAATTTCGAGATATTCATTTCTGTAGCACTTAATGTTTATATTAATTATAAGAACAAGTCCTTGGAGTATTTAAATCATCAATTTTCTTTTGTCAAACAGATCCCTCAATCACAGAAAATTGTTTTTGTGAATAACGAATATTATGGACAATATTGTCTTGAAAAATATGTTCAATGAATTTTTACAAGAATTGTTTTCCTTTCATAAAAAATATTTTTAAATCTTTTAAACTTCTCTATTATCTGTAGCGATTAGGCTATATTGTTATTAAGTAAAATTATATTTATTAATCATAAATTTAATGCGATAATAGATTCTTCAGTTTAGATCCTCAGTTTATTTTTAAAATGGTTTGGTTTATTTTCTTTTTATTTTGTTTTACGGTATATCAACCTTAATGGATTATTTAATGCCGACAACTTTTTTAGGAGAGATTCGTATGAATAGAATATGTATTCTTTTGTTTAGATTGGTTTGGTTTATTTTGTTTTACGTTATATCAACCTCCAATTGGGTTTATTTTGTTTTTACGTCATATCAACCTCCAAGGGTTATTTAATGTCGGCAACATTTTTAGGATAGATTCATATGAATAGAATATGTATTCTTTGGTTTAGATTGTTTGGGTTTATTTTGCTTTACGGTACATCAACCTCAATGGGTTAATTAATGCTGACAAAAATTTTCCTTTTAAAAAGAATGCTGAATTTTTTGTAAGTATAAACGTCCCGATTTTATAAATACGTACGTCCATACACGACATTATCAGACAATAATAGCAGTAGCTATAATAAATTTAAAATGTATTGATATTTTTCTAACAATTTCTCAACAAGGGTCTTCGTAGGAAAAACTATAATGTTAAAAAAAAAAACATTAAATAATATATGAAATATGTGTTCAATTTGTATTCAAGTAATTTTTACAGCTATGTACCCTTTACTTCCTAATCATCAAGCTATAGATAAATCTGTCAACACCTCATAAAACACCAACCATTTTTTTAAAATATGCTATTCTGCGATATTTTAAAATAAAGGTAAGTAATACTTATTTTATTGAGGTTTTTAAACTTTAATTCAGATAATCACACAGAAATAGTTTCAGAAAACTATATTTTATTTTTGAAAGATCTTTTAAGAAAGAAAATTATGAGGTGTAGACAGATTTCGCAATGTGGCTTTTGAGCGATGAAAATAATTCCAATTAATTAAAATTCAGTTTAAAATACAGCAAAGTATTTTGTTTATTGGATATATTAAATTTAGTCTATTATCTTGGAATTAAAACTAAACTAATAGCTTCAAGAAAGAGATTCAATTTTTAAAATGCATCTCTATCTATAAAAGGAGGGAAGTGTGTGTAACGAATGCACGGCCGCAATTTTCGACGGATTTGCACCAAAATTTATATGCACATGCTCCAAGTTAGCGGAAAGGCCAAGACTTTGCATTTCCTAACTCCCATTCGTTTTTCATTTTGTTTTTTCCAGTTACGAGTCCTTTTTTAAAGCTGATCGTTTTGTGTTCATTTTCTTTAGTTCTTTTTTCGTAACAAATTTAATGTTTAGTATAGAACTTAGAAAAAAATCGCAGTGTGAGATATGCAAGAAGTAAGGGATGCAGCAACATCAGCACGGCAAAAGGCACTCCTTTAAAGGCAAGGAAGAGCAAAAATATTTTAAGTCAAGTGATAGCGATTGCTGTATGAGTCGTACAATTTTTGAATCAAGCACGAGCAACACCGGGCCATGTTGCTAGTTTGAAATATTAGGCATCGCTTTCTTTTGGAGATACCTATATGGACATGTGGAAAGAGATACAAATAAATAAAGGCTACTTGAGTGAAAAAGTTATAAGCACATTATAATAGATACATTTATATATAAAAGATTTTCCGACCGATCGATAAGAAAGCATTGCAAAGGATGAAAACTTTAACCGCGTTTTTATTTCATGTATTTCATATATTAAGGCAATAGACAAACCGCTAACTTTTCGCCCACAACTAAAATTTCGCAGGCTATCGCGCCCCACTTGGGAACAGTTTTCGGTGTAACAATCCAAGCCTTTCGTTATGTTCATTTTACAGCGATATTCCGTGACAGTCAGCCATAATTCACCAATGCATATCTGTCATGAACCGTCACATATTGCCTATTCTCCTTTCGACAATTACCGCATCGTAATACGGAGTCAATGACTGATGTTTAGTAGCGTTGCAATAAAGAGGCGCGAATGGACGTGCTGGAGGCTTCTCTCGTAAAATGACTCCAGCCTTAGGACAATGTCTGCTATTGCTAGTGACTCGTGGCTTTAGCACGAGTGCAATCATGATAGAGGAGGTTAAACGGCCCGTGAGTTTCCGCTAACGCGTCAGCAATAATTGTAAGGATTCACGTTTGGGAAATGTTAAATATTTAACTCACCATATCACAGTTGATTCGTTGATTCATATAAGTGTTCTTTTCTTTCTTTTTTCTTTCTTTCTCATACTCTCTGCCTCTTTACGCCTATTCATATATATTTATATACATATATATATATATATATATATATATATATGTGTGTGTGTGTGTGTGTGTCTATGTTTATTCGCGTCTATCTATCTATCTATCTATCTATCTATCTATCTATCTCTCCTCTCTCTCTCTCTATATATATATATATATATATATATATATATATATTATCTTCATGTTTATTCGCTTCTATCTTTTTTATGTTTATTTTATATCTATCTCTGACAACTGATCTAAATACTCTATCTATCTGTTAATATATATATATATATATATATATATATATATATATATATATATATATATATATATATACCATTATCCGTTTGTTTAAGGAAACACTTGAGCTTTTCTATATCTATCTACCTATCTATCTATCTATCTATCTATCTATCTATCTATCTATCTATCTATCTATCAGTTTATTATCCATCTATCTACGACAAAAGATCTCAGTCCTCTAATTTTCATCGATCATTTATCTATTAATATACCTTTCCATAAATTCACATATCTCCCTGTCTGTTTAAAACACTCGAGCTTTCTCTATATCTATCTATCTATCTATCTATCTATCTATCTATCTATCTCAGGATGGATCAACCTATTTATCTTAATCATTTAATGCTTAGCAATCTTTTATCATTAACTATGTTAAAATGCTTGTATATGTTTTATCCCAGTATACGCATAAGTTCTCATGACAGTTTTGCATATCTATCTATCTATCTATCTATCTATCTATCTATCTATCTATCTCCATATATATATATATATAACAGGATCGCCGACGCTTGCAATCTTATATAACTAAGTATGGTAAACTCCTTTAATCTGTTTTATCTCACTCTACCTATATAATTTGTTTCATAAGTTTACATATCTATCTATTTTTCTATCTATCTATTAATTTACACACAGATTATGAAAAATCACACTTCTCTTCTCAATATTGCCTATTTATTTAATATTATCAATGTTACATTATAATCAAATACTTTTTAATTGTTCTAATCTTCCCAAATTATATCACATGAATTGATAATATTTTGAGAGCATGTTTCAATTATTCAAATATGAATTTCGCCATCGAAGTGTTTTGAGAATAGCATGATATATGGAAATTTTGACTTCCTAACTCTAATGTTTAAAAATATTATTACGCATTAACAACTATTCCAATATAAAAGAAAAAAAAAACGTATATATTTTTTTACCCGTGCTGATTTCGGATAATACATGAACATTAGTGACAAAAATAGATTCTGTATATTTCAGATTAATTAAGTCCTTTCAATAGGAACATATCGGTTCTTAAACGTTATGTACAGTGCATATTGCAGTGAATATTTGGAACTGTTCTCTTTTAGTTCAACCATTAAACTTCAGTGAATTTGAGAATTTCACATACATTTTATTTCACGTTAAATATTAAATTTCTTCGCGACTCTTCCTGGACTTCTCAGAAATACCAAGTGAAACGTCACTCCTCACTATTATAGAGATATCACCTGGTTTATATGCTTTGTAAAGATGTAGGTTAGAGATGATAGCAGAAACTCTCCATGGTTGACATCAGAGCCGACCAGAACCACTATTTTCGGTCATACTAGCGAGAGATCTCCCGTCATAACAGATGCTATTCGGTGCTCCTAGTAATAAATGTAGACGAGTCCTCGAAGGAGCTATGTCCATGTTCACCAAGAGAATGAGGCACTGCATTGCATTTATGGACCTCGTGATTACTGGGGCTTCTGTAATAGTGTATTAAATAATTGTAAGGTCTATTTCCTCCCTTATGCAATCTTAATTGTTAATATCATTTTCTGATAAAGTTGAATGTTTTGACCATAAATTCTCCTCAAATGTTACTGTTGACTCACCTGAACAAACCCTGCCTTACTTCCCACTTAAATCTGAGCCTCTTTTCAGGGATTTGCATACAACTCCTGTTATAGTTCCTACTATTATCTCTAACCTAGATCTCTACAAAGTATATAAACCAGGTGATATCCCTATAATAGTCATTAAGAAGTTTCCTCAGAACCGTCTCCTGTTCTCTCAAATGTCTATAATAAATATCTAGCTGCCTTCTGCGTTTCTGCTTGCTGGATAACATCAATGTGTTGTTTCAGTTTTTAAGAACTCTGAGGAACAGTTCGACCCTTCCAACTATCGGCTTATTAGCCGTCTACCTTTTTTTTGCTCCTTGAGGCCCTAATCAATGCCTAATTGTTTCATCATCTCTCATCGCAGGGCCTTTTTTTCAGACAAGCAACATATATGGCTTACATTTCTCTAGGTCAGCTGTTGATTTACTGACGAGAAACGCACTAGATGAAAACGGCTAAGCCGGTGCTGTTCTGACGGCTCGATTTCAGTCACTTTCTAACCGTCGTAATGCTACCTCTTTGCAACTTTTATATAAATACTTCGACGGTAATTGTTCGGATGACACTTTCGTCATGGTACCTAGACTTTTTGAATTTAATCTCAGTACTAGACTGGCGTCAAGATCTCGTCAATTTACAGTTGGGATGGCTAGACATCGCCGTTAGTTCTATGCTAACAGTTTTTTTCTCTTACTTCTTACTTGTGGAACTCCCTTCCTGCTCCATTCTTTCTAACCAAATTTAATCTCCAAACGTTACACGCAATGCCAATCGCTATCTACTGTCCCCCTGATTAATATTTTCTCTGTCCGCTCATTAGTAATGATTCTGTTCATAGTTAATTCACATCCGATAATCCCTTGTGTCTTAGTGGCTTTACTGCCTTACTTGTGTTGAATCAGAAAATTAAAAAAACATTTTTCTTACTATTTTTTCACATCTTTCGAGATATATTCAGCGGGACCTATATGCCTATGTCTTACTTATTATAAAACCCAGGTTGTGTGTGTGTGTGTGTGTGTGTGTGTGTGTGTGTGTGTGTGCGTTTATATATTGGATCGGATTTCCTACATTTTTCAACCGATTTCAACAAAACTTCACAGAACTACGTAAAATTACCTTGCGGTGGTTCTGACAGCGCCAAAAATTGGAAAAACACAATTTTTTTGGCACGAAATCAATTTGAAAACACTTTTACGAGGCATTAATGAAAGGGGGACAACTCATATCGAGTTATACTTATAATATCGAGTTATTGAGTTATACTTATTATAAAACTCAGGTTAGTTGTTTGCGCGCGCGCGAGCGTGTGTGTGTGTGTGTGTGTGTGTGTGTGTGTGTGTGTGTGTGTGTGTGTGTGTGTGTGTGTGTGTGTGTGTGTGCGTTTATATATGGGATCGGATTTCCTTCATTTTTCAACCAATTTCAACAAAACCACTTTTTTGGGGTGGGGAGCAGTTAGTGTTTCTTATTGTCTTGCACACTTTTTTCTTTATTCTTACATTCAGAATGCTTTAAAAATTCCATTTACAAGACAATTGTTTATAATAAAATTCTATTCAATCGGTAGACTCATAACGATTGAAAACAATGTTTTTGTTTGAGTTTGACCAATTCGTAAAAAAAAAAGAACTAATTAAGACATGCGTGTCCGTTAAGCTTAAACAATAATATTCGTCAATTTTATTTTTCAGTTTTTATGATGGTCGATACTTACGGTTATATCCACGGGCAACGCCGGTCTCACCTGCTAGTGTCTTATATATTGCAAAATATTGTGAATTGCTTTATTATCGTCCTGTGGTAAACTTCACGTTGATCAGATAATCACAATGCTGATCTAATACAAAATACAAGAATTTCAATGAATAATTAACAATGAGGAAAATAAAATACGATACTATATAAACTGAAAAAATGACATATAATCAGAATGACATATGTCATATATAAATGACATATATCAAATCTAAATAATATATATGAAAACGACATAAACCAGAAAGTTACATCTTGAAAACAGAATTCCAAAATCATTCAAATGTCACATAAGATATACAGGTCAAGGCAGAAATACCTCCCATATTGTAAGGATTGACAAACAGATGAAGGTAACTGCTATTAAAAAAAATATTTCACTGTTTTTGTCATTTCTTTTTAAAAACGACATCCTCCAAATGGCATCCTCTATTCTCCATAAACTGTTGTATTGGATTTGCAACTAAGTTCTCGCGTTTTTTTTTTTTTTAAATTTTGGAATCCGCTGGGTTTTTAAATTTTGTAATCTATTTTTTCCGAGAATTCTATTTTGGAATTATTTTGAAATCTTTTTTTTTTCTTTGAATTAATTTAAGTCAATTTCTGTTCATTTTCAGATCATTAAAATTGAATGTCACGTTAAGAAAAATGAGCATTTTCGACACCTTCTCTATTTTGCTTTTAATCAAGGTTGTAAGTCCGCAAATGCTGCTCGCGACATTTGTGCAGTGTATATAGAGGATGGCATAGCTGAAAGAACGTAATTGGTATGCCAAGTTCAAAAATGGAAATTTTGACCTCAAAGACGCACCTCGTTCTGGCCATTCAGTTGTGTTCGACGAAGAGATATTAAACCAACAAAAATTATTGTCACACAATAAGAGAACTGGCTGAGAAAATGGTTGGGAAGTGCTGCAACAGCCACAGTAGTCTCCCGATTTGGCACCAACGGATTTCCACCTCTTTCGACCTTTTTTTTATTGTTTAATACTGATGCATAATTGAGAGCTTGGTTGGATTATTTTTTCGAGTCGAAAACATACCAACAATGTATTGCAAGTCTTCTTGAAAATTGGGAAGAAGTTCTAAACAGCAATGGGGAAAACATTATTGATTAATTAGTTTTTACTTTTTTATTAAACTTTTTTTTTAAAAAAAATTAAATTAAAAACAACGGCGGGAACTTGGTTGCCAAACCAATAGATGATTTCTAAAATTATCCATCACCCGGAAGATCAAGGGCTTCGAGGACTTCTTGGTGGTTTTTGCTTAAACACTGAACTTGTGGGCCTGAAAAACTAAACTCATAGCAGCATCGGTTTTCTATTCGGAAAATCATCATTCCGACGTAATATGAAAGGAAGACGAATGTGTTGTAATTGCAGATTTACCAATCTTAAAAAAAAACCAAAATCGTTTCACCCACTGAATGCACGGTGTGCGCTGATCCAAGCAATGAGAGCAACTGATGGCATCTGAAAAAGACATTAGTTAGATGAAACCATCACTAACTCAAGGCTAAGTTCACTAGTAGCACACTGTTATTAGCTTAAATTGTGGTATGTATTAACAAAATTAATTGCATGTGTACACAATATAAAGTGAAAGAAAAGATATTAAAACCATACCTGTTATGAGTGTGCTACTTTGTGTATGTACCATACAATTGTGTGTACGTGTGCTCAGTCGTCCGTCAAGAGAAACACATTGTAGAAATGGAAGAGAGAAAGAAATAGGATATGTTTGCTTTTATATAGAATAGTGCTGACTGAAAGCGTTACGCCTGAGAGAAAGAGAGCGAGAGGAGTGAGAGGGGGGAGATAGAGGAGCGAGATAAAAAGAGGAGAGTAAGAGAAGAGGAGAGAGGAGAGTGAGAGGAGACGAAAGGGGGAGAAAGAGAGGAGGAGAGAGTGGAAAGATTGGAGAGAGAGAAGCGAGATAGAGAGAGTGGGAGAGAGTAGAGTGAGAGAGAGGAAGAGGAAGAGGGGGAGTGAGAGGAGACGATAGAGGGGGACAAAGAGAGGAGGATAGAGTGGAGAGAGAGAAGCGAGATAGAGAGAGAGGGAGAGAGTAGAGGAGAGAGGGAAGAGGGGGAGTTAGAGGAGACGATAGAGGGGGAGAAAGAGAGGATGAGAAAGTGGGGAGAGATAGGAGAGTGAGAGAGAAGAGAGAGAGGAGGAGGGAGGGGGGGAGGAGACAATGAGGGGAGAAATAGAGGAGGAGAGTGTGAGGGAGAGATAGCAGAGTGAGAGAGAGAAGGGGGAGACGAGAGTGAAAGAGGGGTAGTGAGATGAGACGATAGAGGGAGAGAAGGGAGGAGGAGGAGAGAGAGGGAAGATGAGAGTGTGAGATGGGGGAAACAGAGAGAGTATGAGAGAGAGGGAAACAAACAGAAAAATAGAGGTAAACACCAGAAGCTGAAGAATTCGGGACTACGAAATTTTACTTTTACGTCGAAACAATATTAGGATAGCTAGGTCGGAAAAAAAAAACACGTCAAAACTCATTGTTCAACCTGAGGGTCGTAGGCCCCATTCTTTGGAATTCAATTTAAATAATCCAAAACCTCACAATATATGAGAGAATATTCAGCAAGTTACAACTTGTACATTCGAATTCGAAATCCCCTATGATTCCACCAAGTCTCTCTAATGATCTTACACCTCTGATTTTAAGAAGAGGCATTTAAAAAGAAAATTACATCCAACATATCACAGACTGATTTGTATCAGTGAGAGCAAAGAAAGTCTAAATGTAATTGCCATGGATTTCCATGATTTCTTAATTAAAAGAGTAATTCGCTTGAAGTGTGCTTTTCATCTAGTATTTCGGTAAAGTTATTGAAAAGTTGAATGTGACTGCGCTAAATTATTGGTCAGCGGCGTAATTTGAAAGCATTATCGAGACGTTATATTCTGTAAATACGCCCTTGGATGTTAATGACCTCTGCAAATTAGAGACAACATTTTTACAGTTTTTATTGCTTTCTAAAGTCATTCCTCTGTTGCTGATTCTGCTAATATTATATCCACAATGAAAAATCATAAAGAAATTTTAAACATTGATTATTCAAATCAAAATATGGTATTGGCTATATTTAACTGGGCCCAAGGACCAAGAATAAATATTTGATTAAATGAAATAAGTCTGACTAAAACCGTGATGCAATCACATTCAATATTTTGAGAAATATTCAACCGACGACTTTGAGACATCAGTTCACTATAACTGAATTATTGTTAGTACTTTATCTACCTTGTAATTTTGTTGAATATAATCGCTTATTTAAGTCTGTGTTAATACAGAAATAAGTAGGATTATTTTATTAAAATTATACATTTCTATTCTTAGGATTCGTTTGGCCACAGTAATTATCATGATTATTCGGGTTTTCATCAGTTGTATGTAATAAATTGTACTATACAAGTTGTTGCCTTGGACCAGGACCGTGTTTTCCAGTAAACGATAGTCAAGCCCAAATGTGTAGCCCATGCAACTAGAAGTGGAGTGTGACGTCACCCCGGGGTCGCTGCGCCAAATGTGACGTCTGTCTGGCCATGCCCGCCGTGCTGTCCTAGTCGCGGCGCCAATTGTGACGTCACCCCGTCTGTCTTCGCGCCGTCGCCGTCCTATCCTGTCCTGTGACGACCAATGTGACTTGGTATTGGTCGCGGCACCAAATGTGACGTTCTAACCTTTTGCTGTTTCGGATGGGAATCTGGTTAGATTCTGCATCAGCCTTGTCGTTCCCAGCTCGCCTCCAATGTCTGGTTACCGAAGTAATTGTTTTGATTTCTAGTCTAACCTACCCACGTTGTGATTTGATCTTAGGTAGACGAAATCAATCAGTTGTCGGGCCGTATGCAAGTCGAGTCCGAACAAGGGTAATACCGCACAAGTATATGTAAAAGAAAATAAAGTAGTAACTCGAAAAGTTCAAATGCGTTAAAAAAAGGATAACAATATTTTATATCTGGTGACTGAATACAGGACTGCATCTTCCTCCCAAATCGCTAATATGGATTCGTGACACATTGTGTTTGTTAGGCGAGTCTTAACATCTTAAGTTGTTTGTTCTTTAAGAAACTGGTTTTCGTGTATCTTCAGGCGATATTCGTAAAACTTGTTTTGGTGGTGTGATTCTAAGTCGTTCTTCAAAAATAAATTGTGATTGCGTGGATCTTAAGTCAGCTTCCTGCGAGGCGGGTCTCACTCTGCAACTGAACTCAACTGCAAAACTCAACTGCAAGTCAACTCCAACTGCGAATTGCCGTTTACTCGTTGCGCCGACCAAAACCAGGATGGGCCTGTCGGGGTTTTAGGTTCCTTGATAATTATAAATCCGCATCAAGGATTTCCTTTGTTTTCGGTCAGGAAAATTTATTACTTTCCATTTTTGCGAATCTTAATTCTAGTTTAAGGGAATCGTCCTCCCGAATTCTTCCTTTCTCATATTGGTATCTCATACCAATCCCTTCAGAGGCGTCAACAGGTTTCCCCTCTCTCTCAGATGTGACTAGGTAAATCTGGCTGCTAGCCTAGAACAGGGGATCCAATTAGTGGTTAACTGGGACAGGAAATGGCTTCTAAATTTTAACGCCTGCAAAACAAAATTAATTTCAAATAACCAACATAGGGATTTTTGCTGCTAGCCATCAACATGCCTTAGGTTAGACTCCAGATGAACAACACACTGCGTCTTCTTGGCCTCACATTTTTATTTGAAGTGAAACGACCCCATCGAATCAATAGCTCAATCTACGGCAACAAATGTTGGATCGCTGTTTCGTGTCAGAGATTTTTTTTCTCGTCAAAGATCATAGTGCAGATTTATAAATCTACCATTCGACTAAGCATTGAATACTGCCGCCATATCTGGTTTGTTGCTCCTGCTATTCTTTTCGAGTTTCTTGACAATATCCAAAGAAGGACCTTTAATGAAATCGGTCCTGATTTGGAATCTCGATTTAAGTCACTTACTCACAGATGTGACGTGTCTTCCCTTTATCTTTTATACAAATATTTTCATGGCAGCTGCCCTGACGTGGGTTTTTTTTTCTGGTGCCCCTGTGACATGAATTTAAGCGTACTAATAGATTGGCATCTGGTTCCCACCCGTTTACTGATGAAATAGCTAAATTCAACCACCACTTCTACTCCAACAGTTTCTTTTCTCGCACTTCCCGCCTGTGGAATTTCTACCCGATTTCTTGCTTTCTTGATGGCTACAATCTTCAAAAATGTAAATGCAACGTCAATCATCATCGTGTATGTTTTGTCCTTTCCTCAATCCTCACAATACTCAGTCTTTTCTCTAACTTTTCCTCCCTGTAGCCCTGCGCATACTAGATGCATGTCCGCCGTTCCTGGAGTGAAGTGTTTAAAAAAAAGTATTCCTTCTTTTTATGTCTGTTGCTTTAAGTACTGTGAAATGTTAATACCGTCCTTATATTATTGTTCTCCAACTTCTAGCTGCATAGGCTACATATTTGGGCTTGACTATAATTTACTGGACACTCGGCCCTGTGTCCAAGGCAACAACTTGTATAAGGCAATTTACTAAATCCAAATGTTTATTATTGAAATAGTTGAATGCAGCCGCTATTTCTTCTCCAACAGATTCTTTTTTCGCACTTTCCGCCTATGAAATTCCCTCTAGTTTACTTGCTTTTCTGACAAATAGAATCTTCCAAAATTTTAATGCAAAGTAAATCGCAATCTTTTGTATTCTTCAACCACGTTCATATTCTGTCCTTTTCTCAATCCACGCTATACACAGTTTTTTTTTTGTCTCACTTTCCATCCTTGTAACCCCATTGCGTACTAGTTGCATTCCTGCATTTTTAGGAGAGAAATGGCTGGAAAAATTCGATTGGCGTCTCCATGTATGCAGGTCAAATGCACTTGTGACTTCCCAAGATTCAACCTTGCATCTCGCACATTTGAGAGTTTATTGTAGGATTCAGTGCAAACAGTAGTCTGTTATGATTAAGCATGGGACGCACACGCGATATATTTACTATGAATGAAAACATTTTAATTATAAATGTTTAATTATTATTATAAATGTTTACTAGTTATGTAAAATAGTTACGAAATGAAACAATTTACCCGCGTTATACATTGAGAAAATTTGATATAGCGAGATTGCATTGAATGTCGATACTTTTTTTCGGGTTGCTTTTGTTTAGAAATAGCAACTACTGTGTCCACAGAGAGTCGAAGTCACGGTACTGGATATTGTATGCTTGAAAAGTTTGCTAAGCCCTTCTCTTTGGCTGACACACAGTCATAATGTGAGTAATGTTTTCCGATATATAAATACGAGACATTTATTGATTTAATGACAAGGGGACATTTTATTTTACAAGATTAACGTAACGTTCTTTTGTAATAGATGCATATTTTAGTCTGATCAAAATTCTCCTATTCTGATAGAAAACCGTGGCAAAGGTTTTCTTGTGGCGTTGAAAATTGTTTATATTTTTACGATGTAGATATTTTCGTGGCATAGAATAAAGGAAATGGGTATGCAGTAATAAAACAAAATTAAATTTACGCAGAAAAAGCTCTTGCTAGATAACATTCCAAGATAGAATTAAAAAATAATACATTATATTTGTTCAAATAAACAGGACTATTTTGTTTAATCACACAAACATTTTTTTTTTACCAGAAATCAATGTCATTCCAGTTCCATATTAAATATTAAATCCTTTATTTGTGTTTAAACATCTTGCAATAATTCCAGCTTGTAACGGCAGGAGAGCTATAGAAGAAATGTTTATGCTGCAATTTTTATATCCACCATTATTGATATTAATACATCTGTTATAAATAAAAACTGTAATTCAGGACGGAACAGAATAGCTGAAAATGATGTGAAACAAGCTTTTTTAGAGAGATTTGATACCACTAATTATATACACAAAAATATGTATGCATATATACACATCCTTCACGTAGAGAATGATATATCACATCTATCTGAACAACAAAGCAGATTCAAAGGAGAAAAAAAATGAAGGGTCTTGTATATATAGAGATACACCTCTGTCTGGACAAGTCATGTTTAGGACTCCAGATCAAACCTGCTGCATTCATCTTATATATTCCAGGCGATGACATATGGCAGGAACGGGAAACAGCGCGTCTTGAGCTTCACGAAAATGAGGACTGAGTGCTGGAGTTTATATAGCTGGGAAAAATATATTCCTAAATTGAAACCGCACCATGAACTTATCACTTATATATATTTATTGATATAGAATTACGCACATATCTATCTATCTATCTATCTATATATATATATCTATATATATATATATATATATATATATATATATATATAATATATAAATATTATATACATACATATATATATATATATATATATATTAAATATTAAAACTGATTC